GCTAAAAATAGTTAGTTAATAGATAATAAATTAGCGGATAATTAGACAAGTAAATAAGATATACATTATTTTTATTAATAAATAGATATACAGACCGAATGGTGTAAAACGGCGATATCACCACGGATAAACTGATAAATAACTGGCTAAGGTGATAGATGAAGAATACATAAATAAATCAGTTGAAAGATGGGTAGTAGATAAGTGCGCCGATCACAGGTTATAACTAATAACTATTATCTGGGCAGAAATGGACAACCGAAAGTAAACGGGTAACTGGGTAGATAACTGAATAGATATAAAAATTGGCATGTACATACATATACGAATATTAATTACCCTAAGCCACAGATTAGAGGGGAAAACTCGATAAAATGTGTCGTTTAATTTCTTCCTCTAAAACACAGAAGGAACAAGTAACAAAAGAACACAGGTGATCAACTCAACGCAGCTCGTCGAATTTTGTGAACCGAATGACGGAACACGCACACACGTGCTAGCAAAGCTTGCTAGAGTCACCTTAAAAGGAAACTCCGTGAAAGAGGGTATTTCGCGGGTTGACCGATTTAACCCCATATAGATGAAATACAAGGTCGTTCAGCACAGCAAGCCTGACGGTAGTATGGGAAACTTTTTTTGCCATATCGTTCAGTTATACCCTCTTCAGCAACAAACCGATGGATGAACTGAATAAATCCATCCACAAAAAAAGACGCTGCTCCCTGTAACTTTCTGCAAATAAAATGATCCAAACTTATTTGTACATAGGTTTTTTAAAGGATGGGCGGGTCTTTCAACTTCTAAAGAACGGTACTTGCACTTTTAGTATTTGTTTGGGTGGCAATGTTAAACTTGACCCGGCGATAATGTACTAGAATGTAGAAGGAGGGAAACTCCCCCATACTGAAAAAAAATCTGTAACGTTAAGCCTAGCTTATCTACTCTATTTCGCAAGAGCTGACTGCTGGATCCTACAGTACGGACAGATTACTGCTCCCGACTATAATAACGCAAGTATGGGGTGACAAAATGCCGACAACGAGCATCGCTGCACCGTTTTGGGGAGTGAAAAATGGTGCCAGTCAGATGACAGTGTGTGCACATTGAATGATGGCGGAGGAGAAAAGGGATCCATTGATGAACGCTCACCTGACCACTAACGAAATTCATCTGTCCCGCTCCACCTTGGGCCTCGACAGAAACCCTGACAGGCGTAACATTTGGTAGTAGCAGGCACATATTATTGCCGGCAAAAACAAGGGAAATTGGAATAGCCGCCAAAGGCAGAGCAGGACAAATGAATTCGGCAACGGTAGTTTACATATTGCACCTCACATACCTCTACTCCTAGCATTTTTTTCTAAGGGAACGGTAGTTATAGGGGTTTTATGTGTGGGGAATTAGGACACGCAGTGTAATATACCTTAATTGTATTGTATTTAGAAATTATTATGTTGGTTTGACAGATTTGGTTACTTTATTTGACCCAATTGTGAAGAAACTCGCGGCCTTCGGCGGGATTCGAACCCGCATAGAAGGGTTTATATCTGTAGATTTTCCTAATCTGTTTTATCTTCTACCATATTGCGGATAAGCTCAATTATCAAAATGCAGGTTTCTTGAAACTCCTGAACAAATAGAAATGGGGGTTAGGAGGTCGTCTACCTCAACTTACCTGAGGTCCACATTACCGTTTTGGAGTTCGATTAGCATAGTCCGCGGTGGGAAGCGCCGCACACACCTTTAATTTACATGCAGAACAACTTACTCCCAGCGGCCGCGGGAAACAATTTAAACTGCATTTTTCCACTTTAAACTTACTTCTAGAAATTTCCTTCAGTCTCCATCCTATTTCGTACCCTCAAAACCCCCCATTACTACTGTTTCCGTTGGACAAAATGCTGGGACTGGGAATATATGAAGCGCACTACTTAAACTACCTTTGCAATTAATTCCGTTAGCGGTCAGGTGAACTTTAATCAATGATTGTCAATATCCCCTGACCTGAAACGGCAAGACAACGAGCTCGTGGCTCAGCGTTTAGAGCGTTTGACTCTGAGCAAAAAGGTCGCGACTTCGAGGCTCAGGTAGACAAACCACTTGGGTGTCGATATATCTGGCTGACAACGGCTAATAAATCAGCAATGGTCATTCCAGTCGCCCTTGTCTTTGCCGGCAATATTATTTGACTACTAATAGGGGATCCGTCAAGCCGATGCGAGATGTTACGAGAAATTTACAAAAAACCTAGGAACAATAGACTTATATATTAACATATTCAAGACGGACCCTACGACTCCGTAGTACCAGCATGACTGAAAACGAAGGGGACGCCAATGTGGGCTAAAGGGCTAATAATGCTCGTTGTATGGTGAGTACTGACACGACTGAAAAGCCGGTGATACTAGTTTCTTTGCAAAAAAATTAATCAAGAGAAACAAAGGATAAAAACCATCTGCAGGTTCCGGGGCGAACTAGTGAACTAGTTAAAGCATTACACGTTACGTCATATAGCTATAAAAATACTCCATCCAAGGCCTACTGAAGGACATATAGTAGTTATGGCTAGTAAAATGGCCATCACTGATTCCATACCTTATCTTTACTAGTAATTTTATTACACCAGCAGAGCCAAGTGCGCATTCGCTTTTCGCCTATTTTTTGCATATTTGCAAGCAACAACTCCCTTGTCGGTGTACAACTGCTCACTTATATTCTATGCTGAAAACACCTGACAAAAGTCATTCAGGGGGCCTTAACATAGAAAAGAAGCCTCGAATCGCAAGTGCTATCTTGGTATGCATGGAAAATTTCTAACATCAAATTATGCTCAGTAGCCTGTCGAATTTCAGTCCTACGTCACAGATATTCCCTGAAGAAAATGAATATGCAGCTGGCATATTCGGTAATATTTCTGGGCACACGCCCATTGTGGACTATAAATTTTTTTATGTACAAAATTATTTGGCCATTAAAAGATTCAACTCTGCATAAAGACCGCCAAAAATAAAGTTTTCCTTGACCCAACATGCATCCTGAATTTTTGAATGGAGATGGTCATGGGAGGCTTCACGAAACTTCATCTTAAAACTACTATGTTAGAACGCATAGTTTTGAGTTTATATTATGTTGCACATGCCTCAATTTTTGAATTTCAACTGAACATTCGGTTTTACTTGAAAAAGAAACAAATCAAGGTAATCTCAGAGCAGACCATTGGAGGAGGCAAAAATACATCTTGTGACTGAATATCAATGAGAGATTTACTACGTAAATGCTTATGATTGAACTCACCTGGCTTATGCTCTCCGAAACTGGACTTATATCAAGGTAAATCAAGTCGCTAGCACTAATTTGTTTGTCCTCGCGTTTTACAAAACTATCACTCGTTCCATTCCGCCCCTCTAACTGAATTCGTTCAAAGTAGGTTATCATATTTTCCGCTGAGATATCTTGGTCGAGCTGGCTCGTAAAGTGGGAATGAATGCTGTGTATTCGACGTCCACAGCGAAGGGGGCAGCCAGGCACACCGTCTCCGGGTTCGCTGGGTTGTATCATCTCCACGACCTGCAGGGAAGACAATTACTTTGTAATTTATATGCTGGGGGCAGATACAAGGCTCGCGACACTGCAGCAAAATCGTTGCTAAATGTGTTCTGACCCACTGTCTAGGCGACATGACGTTGGGCAAAATAGCAATCTCTATAACTGGGCGCAGTCACAGGAAAGGCAGGTAACGTTTTGTGCAAGTTCGCAACGGCCAGCATGCCTTAGGCCTTTTTGCCAATCAGGACAAGCAGGTATTCTATTTAGGAATAGTACACACCAAATTATGAGAGATTGAAATAACCACGCCTTTCTTGTTTTTAACCACCAACTGGACAACCTTCAAGTCCACGTTCATACCTGCTGTGCGTTTGGACCCCGACTCTCATGCCGATGAAAATGAACCAAAAGCACTAGCCCGCATCCCGTAGACTGCTGTTGTCGTAAGTACTGAAGGCAACCGGATAGTGATGTGCCACGATTTATCCTGAAAGCGGGCAATTCAGTTTGCCTTAAATCTGAGGATCTGCAGCCCTGCTTGCCTATATCATGACATTGAGCTCGAAATTCTGAAATGTGCTTTCGATTCAAACAAAGACTGATTATCTTGCTGCTTAATCCAAAATATTTCGCCCATGCATTTTAAACGAGTTTCTTCCTGTCCTCCTGGAAACGTATGCTCGGACAGAGAGACTACTTAAGTTGTGTGGTTTATGCGCATTGAATTTCAATGCTCTTAAAAATTTATATGAATTTTCTGGAAAACTTGCGTGAAAGCATTCTTCTTTGTACTTTTTTTTATAAAAAATTACGCCTTCTTTAGAGTTTACACTTGAAGAAAGGGAGTCGTTCTGTTTTGAAGCTTTCTTAATTACCTAGAAGGGTTGAACCCTATCAGCCGTCATACTTATTTAATAGGCTCCCAAACTATATGCCCTATGCATTCCGTGTAAAGAAAATCATATATTTTTCTGCGCTATGAGGAAGAAGTTACGTAGTCCTCGTAAAATTTTGCAATGAATGCGGACCATGTTGAATGTTTTATAGGTAACCTTCATAAATAGATGGATACAATGAACTTTGAATGAACATTCTACGGTCTTTAAAGATCTTAATGAAAAGAAACTGTTTTAAAACTGAAATTAAGTAGCCATTTTTTACATTTTATGCTTCTTGCAGGCAGTCAGAAAGAACCTCATTCAAGAGCCAATATCCTGACCCGACTGAAATTAATCAAGTTAAGGCTGTAGTATAGTCCCTCTTGCAACAGTACTTAATTTATTTGTTCGAATCGAATGCAAGTTATAGAATTTCAGGTTACATTTCACAAAGTAGCAACAGTACCATCGCAGCGTTAGGAGGAAGTCGTGTCTGACAAGGGTAGGATATTGCGAAGGAAATGGTCAAACTTCGATATTAAGGTTGAAAACCTTTAAAGGTACCCCCGTACCACGGATGATCTTGTGCTAAATTCCAACAAGAACGCTTATCTCCGTATCTTATCTTAAACTCTAACGGTATCCGCAACCCAAAGCTTAATGCCAATCCCTCAGAGTGCCTCTCTTATCTCTAACTCCAACTGTACTACGAACCTCAATACTATTTCCGTGGAATTTAGCACAAGGCCATCTCTAAAATGGAGGGTGCCCCACCAATACTTATTGTTGCATAACTGTTAGGGGAATTTTCTGACACCCCATCTTACTGAAGATGACTATAGATTCTGTCACAACCTCCTCTAGTCTATTGACCGCTTTCAGTCCGCCATTTAAAAAATGCAGGTTGGAAAACCCGAGTTCAAACTCGAAACCGTTTGGTTAGTAAGCACTGGACTAAATGCTGTCAATTTTCTACGGGTTCATATCTCTGCGACAAACTGCGCAGACTTCAGATCAGAAGTACACAAGGAAATAAATCGTCCTAAATCTGCCCTATAATCAGAAATTACTACCGGCTGACCCAGCAGACGCTGGTAACTGACTAGAGAAAGTGCACTTCCGTAGGATCGACTTGCCTTACACTCACGTGCTGTTACGGTTGCCAAACCTCTGTTACCTAGACTCAAGCTCAGTGTGTTGCCTCTCATCCGCCCCTGGGTGCGTAGTTCGTTCTAACTAGCACTTTCAGCGCGAGAACGGAATGTGTGCTGCCAGCAGGGGACGCGGTATTGTGTGCACAACGTTACCTTTGCCTAACCTCCCGAATTTGTCAATCGCAATCTAAAAATGTGAAGTAACACCAGCAGTGATGGAGAGTTACGGAAGAGAACTAATGCTGGACTCTATCTGGCTGTCCGCTGGAAGTTCTAAATTCTTAACAAAGGGTCAGACTCTTACACTTTTCGATTATGCAATAAAGTCACAAAGGAAGTTGGATCCTTTTACTGAATATAGAATTGGTAATGAACCCGCCCCCAAATAACATACGCATTCCGCTTGATCATTTCGGCCCTAGCAATCTCAATACACAGTAGACATAAAAAACGCTGTTAAAAATAAGCCGTACTCATCGCGTTATACCCTGCACATTTGGCAGAATGCTTTGGAAAATGGCAGTTGATTTTGCCATTTAGCCTCCCCTAAACACTGAAAACTCATTTTAGTGTGAGACACGTTGACTTTGCGGCGTATGCAAGAGCAGACACAGACCGAATTACAGCAGGTTGGTATACGTTAATGTGACCTAAGTTGGTTTCGGGGGATAACACTCCATTAAAGAACAACGTATTTACTGAAAACACGTTTGGTGTAAGCAAATGGATCAATCGGAACTCGCGCGAAGTAGGTGGAGATCAAATCAACATAGTTCGGCTTTACCTCTTTTTATTTCAGATCACAACACTTTGAAGCACGGGAATTTAAATACAAGGGAGAAATAAACTCATTTATCCCTGGTGAGCAGGCCTAGCCTTAGATGGAATTACAATGCTTCTCTGTATATTATAAACCACGGATCTGTTCCCTTCTTGTATTCTATATTTCATACATTCAGAAGGACAAGATCAAGTTCTTAAAGGATCTGTGATACTGCATGTTTGGCAGTAAAGGTTGGAAGAATATGGTCTATTGAAGTGACGTCAAGAAACCTATGAAAGGTATTTAAAAAGTTCGAAAGATACGGCACCGGGAGTTAGTACAATTTCACTCTGGGAAACTTATCCAATATTATCTGATGATATAAGAAATATAAACAAGAACTATAAATTCATATAGCTCAACCTGTTAACATTCCCACGGGGAAAGCAGGAGTGTTTCTTCTGAGTTCCAGGCATCTGTCCAATTGTTGACGGAACCTACATCTTGCACGCTGGGGGTACTAGTTCCGTCACAGGACCAGTCATCCGTCGCTTTTAAAGCTGAACTCGTACATCAGTCGTTCTTAGTCCAAAGTGCGAGTCAATAGACCTATTGCCGTTTTCACTTACGAAGAATACGCTAACTTCGTCGTTTAACTAAATCCACGCGGACACATCGTTAGTTCGCATTCAAGCACGGCACTGCGTGGGCTGGAATAACCATTTTGGCTAATTAGTCATCATTGGGTAACTAACATCTGGAACTCGAACTCTTGGCCTGTTGGCTAGAAGTCCAACGATATACTCAGTGAGCTGCAGGCTTTTTCGGTTTCGATGGATGATTATTTGATGATAATTTACCATTGCTTCTTGCAGTGCAAGTAAATGCAAAACAGTGGTTTAGGATTCATTTGAAATCTACTTTGCTTTGAAACAAACAAAGCAAAGTTTCCTCAACTGGTCCAGGCCCTGAAATAGACCTTGATAGTTCTCATAAACGCCACGTACTCACTTCTCCCCGATGCGAATCATAAGCATTCAATGGGAATAAAATTGGTGGCCCACTATAGTCAACCAAGTCGTGAAATTTCGGTCTGAGTATGTCACAGTGTCAACTGTTGTAATAGATAATAGCATCTTGTACGATAAATATTACTAGAGGTATTATAAAGCTCGACGCAAACCCTGCAGACGCAGGTTGTTCTATTCCATTTAATATTTAGACAGCATAATTTCAAAAACAGCCTTAAAAAGTACTAAAAAGCGCAAACTGAAATGCTGCATATATATAACAGAATAACAGGGTTGCTGACAGGGTTGGTCTCGCATTATGTGTCTAGCCTTTCCTGACCTATAATTTACCTTTTTATATTATTTGCGCCTAACGAACGCATATATCTTATTTAAGTCGATAGTTTTAGATTTTGGTATTAGCGAACCTTATCAGTGGCCTTGCACTCCATACGCTTAATTGGGGAGCAATTGGCGGGACAGAGATCAAGTGCCGTGGTGGGAAGGTTGGGATAAATCTGTTGGAATAATGTTTGCAACATCCACGTCAGTGTGTCTACAAAGCAAGAACCTGCTCTTTACTCCATCGTGTGCTACTTGTTACACATCTCGTCTCCAATATACCTTGATATTCAAATATTACATCTCGAGGGTCATCATGTACCCCCATAAGGCACAGGTTTTACACTCTCCGCTTACATTTAGACAGGCAGGCTATCGAAGTCACTGGTCACACTCGAAAAGACGTAAACACACGCGCTAGCGAGAACGTTAATCCACTCGATGTTATACATTTAACTTATAGCCTGTTCCGATTAACAGTGAAGAGCGAGTTTGACATGCAATGGCTTCTGCATTCGTGATAAGATATAACTGTGCAAATGACGTTCAGCGAATTCTCGGCAAATGGTACCTCGAGCGCTAGTTTGCATTCTGCGACAGTACAATCACAATCTAAAATACCAAGGTCCGTCAGGATATATTTGGTTTCCTTTTTTTGTCGCTGATGATAGGAACCAGAATTAATCTGAAAAGTTCTTTTAGCAAACATTTAATGCTAACTATCCTATGTGTGTCCTATCATTTTCCTTTTATTAAAGTTGGCATTCATTTTCTTTACGTATCGATCTATTGATTACGTGTCATTCGTACTTTTCAGGTTACCCTTACACCTCGATCTCGCAGCAACCAGCAGCCTTGGAGAATATTAAATTTCATCTCGGAGCTAACAGGGAATTTCAATGAGTTCACGCATACAATTAAAATGCCAGACTTACCTGTCGATCTGTGAGTCTTTCCACTTCCTTCATACAACTGAGTGTTTGCTTAATCTGGATAAGTTTGCTAGTGCTTGTTTCGATGTCGTGGCACCAAGTTTGCCCAATATTTCGCATGGAGTAGGGAATAGAATAAGCCTCCGAGAAGCATTTGCATTTTTCATAGGTTAGCTTTTGTCGAAGAACGGCCACGCAAGCTCTTTCCGTGTAGGCGAATTGCGCCTTGTCGTCATCGCCTACAGGAGAAATATATTTCAGAATATGAAGTGAGCTGTGCCACCGATATTCGATTTAAAACTGTAAAAATACTTAGTTAACATAGCCAGTGATCTTTAACTGCAGCCTGTGGTTTGTTAGACTTTTAAGCTTCTTAAAATTTTTGCATGACGCAATTTCCTGTAATCCGTTTGTTTCATTAAGAGCAAATAAACTGGACGAAATATAATAAAACGTTCTACAATGATCTAAATTCCGTAATGCTAACAAGTGTCCCAATACATATCCGATTTGCATTTTGCGTATCCCAACAAGTTATTTCCCGCAACATGGGGAAGGTCCTTTAAAATTACAACAAAAAATTGGTCCTAAAAAGTAATTAACAACCGTGAGAATATAATTCTCAAACCATACAAACTAACATACTATTAGATAGGTGGTTCCCAACTGAAGTGTGATTTTTGAATAATTCCTTCCGAGGGGAAGTTAACTTTATCGAGTATGTCATCATATTTTTTTATATTTTAAGTCACAGTCTACATGTCTCTCAAAAATAGTCAGAAGTTACTTGGTTTGAACTCGTATGTGCTCTTGTACTCACGTTACAAATGTAATTCTTGCTTTAAATTAGGGATCGGAATCCTTTCTATGCCGTAAGGGCCATGTTCAGGATCTTTACTGAAAATATTTTTCTGGCACTTAAACAAGGGGGTGCATACTGATTAGTTCGCTCACAACAAAGTCTATTAATAAACGCGCCTTATTAGTACCCTACTGTATTACCGCAAAAGCAAATACCTCTTCCGTTATGATGGACATATCAATGTATTGGACACGTGACTGTAAGGGTGGTCCAGTAACTACCCTTCTTATTTATCTGTAACTGCGTCCCTCAAATGTTGTGTGTAGCTAACTTTGAAGTAAAGAGTACCATGAAAGACCTTTAGATGTATCAGCTTCGAATTCCATGACTTAGATACATTTTCTAGCAAATGGACATCAAAGAGTGGGGCTGATACATGCGGAGACAACATTTTTTGCAGATTTAGCAACAATAGGAATAATACTGAAATGTTTTAATTCCGAAACAAACTCGATTCGTTGTGTTTTGGACTATCTATAACTGCAGATAATCTATATAAATTATGGATAACCTGTATAATATATGTGGGTTTGCCTTTGTCATAAGTTTGAATGGCCTTAAATCAAATTTAGCTTCAGCATTTTTAATCATGTAGTCATTTAAAAATTAAATAGATCCCTTTCGAAGAACATTGTCCAAACTTCGTTTCTAGCTTGTTTCCTAAGCTAAGCGCGATCTACTGGAACGACTTGACATTCCTGGACTCATCCTGTTTCCTCTGATATTAACCCTGCCAGCACAATCCCCTTATAGGACGGGGATGGTGACGGGGGTAAGAGAGGGTAGATGGGGATAATTTTTAAGGCATGTGTATTTCTCGGTTGCACTAAATTTTTTGAAGGCTGCTGACAGACCCAGAAGGCAATCTAACTAATTTTTGTAATATTTTTGCATGTGACGAAGTTATTTTCATTTTTTTAATGTAATTTTACGTATACTTCTATATAGTGCATAAATTAATTAGACATAGATAAAACGGTGGCTTTGTT